ACAAATGAAAATATGTTGTACTTCCGACAAACTATACAATCTCAAGTTTATTTGCTCAATTGTGAAAACTATTGTTAATTGTATTGACCAAGTTCTCAATATTATGTATCCATCTTATTACGATGTTTTTATGTTATGTGATATATTCTCAATTATTTCATTTCAATGTATTCGATATACTAAGTTTTAAATAATTTTGTTTTGTTTTGTTTTGTAATGGTATCCCGTGCAACGCACGGGCATGGTTACTAGTAATGTGTAAATTGATTTCATTTTCACAAAAGTTGTGTAGTTTTTATCCAACATTCTTGTAGTTATTTTATATTTTAGTGACGTCTCAATAATTTTGGTATACACAATTTATTTAGTTTTATAAGATTATTGTGAATTTTATAATTTAATTATTAAATTTAATATTTTTAAATTATTTGAAGTTTTAAATTCAATTTAAACTTTGTAGGGCTTTTAACTGGCAATTATCAAAAGTACAAGGGTTTCTTTGCAATTCACTGAAATTGTTATCAAAGGGCATTTATGTCATTTCATTTAGAACTGTAGAACCATTCCAAACGCCGTGTGTGAATTACTCGACGGATTTTTTTTGGTCTTTGGTTAGGGTTATGTTAAAACTTAAAATTGATATTTGAAGAGTGTTTCTAGGCTCTAGCAATCCAGTATATTAATTAAATTTTCATTCTTTATATTTCTTTTTATATTTTGTTTGTAGAAATGATCCTTTTGTTACTGTGAACGAGATGGACAAAACATTTCCATAACAGTTACAAATATTAAATAAAGATGAGTTTTCCTCTTTTAATACACATTTAAGAATTTGTACCTCTTGGACAGGTAATTTTAGACATGTGGACCTTCAAATTTGATGACTAAGTTAGTGCATTTGGATAAAAAATGTAATAACAGATGGAATTGTAATAAACTGATGTAAGGATATGAAATTGGAGTACAGCCAATGTGAAAAAAAAAACAAATAAATAAATTATATATAAGTAGTGGAATTGAATCTGAGTAATGGCAGTTGCAGAGAAGTAGGTGAAGAAGCACAAAAATGATGGAGGGGCACATTTAATTGTGGCAGTAAATGAGGATACATAAATATTATTATGGATCCCCTTTGGATTTCTGGCCTTTTCACTTCTGTCAATGACCTCTTTCCTTTGACTATTCATATCGTAATTATAAAAAAAAAAATTAAAAAAAAAATAGCATTTATAAATCTTTGATGGCTATTTAGGAGACAGCTAGCAACTACCGAACCTGTTTTCTTTTGTATATTTATGTATGATTGATATTGATCAGACACAAATTTTTAGTGAATTTGAGAATTCATTCATAGGGAAATTGTTAAGAACACTTAATTAAATTAAGGATATATCATTATTTTTCTTGTAAATATATTCACTTTATTCAAACTTATTTGCTAATAAGGGAAACTCTTTAATATATGTCAAAGTTAGATCTAATTTTTTGAAACCCAAACACAACTCCAATTTCATAATTTAAACTCTAATTTAGCCTAATTTCATCAATTGACCAATTTCGACACCTAACCCTATCTTGACCTTAATGTTGATTGCCCTCGCCGGTCTCCGACATTGCTTTTTTTTTTTAAACATTTGTTTTTTTAACTTTTTCGTTATTATGTTAATATTAATATTATTGTCTCAACCTGCAATTTTATTGTGTGAGACAGAAGTGCAATATTATTACCTCAGACAGTAAAATTAATATTCGATATTACTGTTTCAAACGGACAGTAAAATTAATGTGTTGGTTGTTAAAAAAAATTGAAAAAAAAGGTCAATAATGGAGACTGGCGGTCAACCCCGGTCTATAACTGGGGAAAATGTACTGAAAAAATTTATTTTTTTCAAAAAAATGCGAAAATGTAAGTTAATGTGATATATTTGTTAACATATGGGTCAATGTACAATATTTGTTAAGTTGAGACATTATGGATGAAATTGATGTCAATTATATTATGATGGATATTTTGTACAAGAAACAAGGAGATGAGCTATTTTATAAGACTAACTTTAGTTGTATAGGAGTAGAAATAAATACTCCTTGGAGTTATATGCAATTTACCCTTCATTCATATATGATATAGGTTTATTGTGTTTACTTGTAGTGTTAAAAAAATTATTATGTTGATTTTACTAACAAAACTTCCGTATGATTCAAAAAATCAAAGGCAAAAAATACATCCAAAAACTAAGGAATTGTGAGTTTAAATAAACACATTGTAGGGGATTTATACCAAAAACAAATAACCTTTTTTTAGCAATTCAAAATAATGCAAAGAGGATTTACAATTAACCTTGTATGATGCATATCTATGTGACCCCATTTTTCTATGTTACACCACGTGATATTTTTACGGATTGTTTTGGTACGGTAATGCTATGAAATATTCCATTACTATAAGTTATGGTTGATACGCGGTAATGAATTATTTAATATTAATATCTCCAATACGCCCTATCAAGTTAATATGAAATATTTGAAATAGATAGCGGTGAGGTTCGAACACATGATCTTTCATCTAACCTGACTTTGATACCCTACTGAGTGACACCCTCAACCAAAAGTTTATGCTATTAGTAAAAAGTATCATTTAATATTAATATATCTGATAGTCAAAAACTTTGATACCTTACCTACGCGTGGCTTTCGCTGGTATAACATATACAGATCTTATATGTGAATGTGACCCCAGTTGATCGTATTGAGCTGTTTATTCAAATAACATTATGGGTTAGTTAGTTGGTTGTGGGCTTTTATTTCCATGTCGTTTGGATTTATTCAAATCTGTCTAGTTTGCAGAAATGATTGAATTATTTAAAGTTTGTTAATTTTTCTTGCAAAATAAATTATTAGTTTACTATATTTTTACATGATAAATAATAATTAATTCAACTGTCTTACTTTAGCTCTTTGGTGATGGTAAAATTCATTTTCGCAGCCGGGTTTTCAATCGAATAATTACAAAGGATTTAAACTTCGTCTTTAGGGCATCTTCAATGAAGTAATCAAACTCTATTTGGCTGTAAAATATAGAAATTGTGTAATAAATTCAACACCAACAAAAAATTTGAAGACAACGCCGTTCCTGAGATTTTGGGGCCTCAGGCGAGATTTGAAAACGGCAAAAAAATGGGGCCCTTCTAAAATCTAATATAAAATTCATTTTTTTTAAATAGTGATAAACTCTATATTAACTCATTTTTGTAAGGTATATATAGCCACTGACAATGCTAGAAAATTTGATATATAGTGGGGTTAAAGTTTTCGCGGGTTCGGGGGCAGCGGCCCTATTCTTTTTAAAGATAATTTGCATGAAATAGCACTTAAACAAGTGAATTTATATAAAAATAAATAACTAATGCATTATAAATTTAATAATTAGGGCCCATAATTAGAGGAATTATAGAAATAAGTAACAATCGTTGATTTATATCTATTTATGAATTAGGGTTCTCAATAATTATACATATAATATAATTTTTTTGAATAAATATTAATATATAAAGGGTATACAAAATTTTGGGGGCCCTAAATTTTTTAAAATATCCGGGGCGCCTTGACGACTGTCTACTTTGCCTCCCCTCATAATCGGCCCTGTTTAAAGGGGTTTAAATTTTCAGATTTTTGCAAAATCTCCAAACTTGTTCCTAAATATAGGACTTTATTTGGAGACTCATACATATTTCATGGGACTTTGTTTAGAAACTCAAAATTATAGAGCCCTCCACCGTAGAATTTTATTTTTAGAGACTCTAAAATTTTATCGGATCTCCATATGAGTCTCCAAATTCTGTAATGTCCAAATATAATGAAAAATATATATATACATACAAATTGATCCCTGCCATTAATTCTTTTATCTACATTGCTGTAAAAAATAATTCAAACAAATGAAAGGACAAAATATTAACACAGATATATGTTCAAATATAATAAAAACTAATAAATACAATATTTTTTTGAACTGTATAAATAAATATAATACAATTTTAAATATAAAATAAGCACACCTTAAAAACTTAGAAGGATAAAAGAAAAAGAAATAAAAAGCCTAAATTAAAATTCGATTGGAAATTTATTGATGAAAAATAAATAAAAAGCCTATACAATCTTTTATTCACTATTATACAACCTTTGCCTTTGCCCTCGAACCCAACAAATAGAGAGTCTCCAAATAAAATCACATATTTAGGAAGACATTTAGAAATTTTGTCAAAGTCTCTAAATTTGCATATCCACTAGAATCCTTATTGGTGTTGCCTTTTTTTTTTTCGCAGAAGTGCTATAATTTAGAACCCACTAGAGTATTAGTAGGGATGGCAAAAAAAACCCGAACCGCTACTTATTCGCGGGTATCCGCTCCGTTTACAACCTGTTACCGAAACCATTAGGGTTTGGTAATGGTTTTGGTAAAAGAAAAAAAAAACCGTCATAGTTTTGGTATGGTTCTGGTTTTACCTTTACGGTTATGGGTACCCAACCATTTAATATATATATTGTAACACCCCGCCCTTTCGGATAACTCGTTTTATATTTTTATTATTTTCATAAGTAGATTTTACGTTTAGAAGTTTTATGTGCTAATAGGATAATTTATTATGAGCTAGCCTAGTTATACATGCATTCTTGATGAACTTTATGTGTGACTTAAATTATCTGATTAGTTGATTTATGAGAATCGAATATTTGAAAATTTCACACGAAAAATAACTAATTGAAAATTTTCATATTTTAATTAGATTATTGTATTCTAGAATTTAATTTGGATAGTTGGAATATATTTATGCATACACTAAATTTTTAGAAAAATAATAAATTCATGCATATTAGATAATTAAATGAGTGAATAAACTTAGAAATAAAATTTTCCCCACTCTTCTTGTAATCCATGTGGAGACACACATGGATTTTATTTTCCATGTGTACAATTCTTTAATGTAGAAATGCTCATTAGTTGGGAGAATTGAAGGCTTAAGTGGCTTGTACTTTCTTCATTGAGAATGGTACTCCACTTTACCTTTTAATTCAAGACCCATTTACTCCCTCTCTCTCCACCTAAGCATTTGAAACCCACTCTCTCTCTTCTTCCTCTCTCTAAATTCGGCCATCACCACCATCCCCTCACCAAGACTCCATTTTTACTCAAGCTCAAGCCAGAGAACCATCTCCAATCCAACCCACCTAAAGAGGAAATTCCAAGAACACCCCCAAATGCTTGCAAAACTCTATAAATAGAACCCAACACCCAAGTGAATTTTCATCTTCTCCACCATATCTTAAAGCTCTTAAGAAAATATTCTTCTTCCTTCTTCTCCTCCATTTCAAAATTATTAGTGTAGGAAGCTCGAAATCTCTCCTCATTTCCAAAAAGAAGTTTCTTCAACTAAAAGTGTAAGAAAGCTCTCATTTTTCTTCTTCTCTTTCAATTTCGAATGTTTTCTTCTAATTTTTTTTATAATTTCTTCAAGGTTCTTGTAGTGGGTTATTCAATCCACCAATTCCTTCATATTCCCAAGAGAAACTAGGTGAGAATTTCACATTCTTACTACAAGTGATTCTTCACCAATATTATTTCTTATTTCTCCTTCTTTGTTCTTAATGGCCGAAAATTTGGGAAGTTATAGTACTTTAATTGTTTATTGTTAGATCATCCATGCATGTGATGATCTAAGCTTTAATTGAAATAATCTTGAAGAACTAAGAATAATATGATAATTTAAATTTTTTTTTATGTATGTATATATATATATACTAGACCTGCGTGATCTTAAGGAAACTTCGATCCATGGTTTTCGTAAACCTGCGTGGTCGAAGAAAGTACTTGATCCATGGTTTATTTATAATGTAGATGTGCTATATATAAGTATATGTTTCTATGAGTATATATATCGACCTACGTGGTTGTAAGTGTACTCCCTTCGGGTCGAGGAAGCTTACGATCCATGGTTTATGATCTATGAGTAATAAGATAATATACAAAGATAAAAACCGAGAACAAGATTAATAAAAATGATTTTTTTTTGTGATGGAATTGTTGATGGTTCGAATATTTTGGAAAGAAAATGAAATAAACGGAAATTTGGTGCTACTTGAAAGAAAACTTCAAGTCTCTTGAGAAAGAGGGCTTGAACTTTAATTAATAAACTTGGGGATAGTAATTATAAATAACCGAATGCTTTGAGTTGTTTTGCTATATGTGATCTATGTTCTTTGCTTGAGTTGTTATGTGTCTTACTTGCTTTTGTGATTTTGTGACTAAACTATGTGCCTTTGTGAAATATGTGGAAATATGTGTGCTTATGTGAAAGCTAACTTTGAATATGTGAAATGAAGAGTATATACTAACTTCACTTGCACGTTTTTAAAATTGGAAAGTCTTGTAAAACATAGATCGAATAAGCATGGGGTATGAGGGACCGGTACCCCAAAAATGAGATGAAGAGTGTGTGGTTTGATTCCACTTATGAAACGGGTTCCAAATAAATGAAGGCTTATTGTCTGATGTTTTACTTGATTTTTCAAAGGATATCCGAACAAAAATATTTTTCTCACACAACTAATCAAGTTGCTTGAATTGAATGAAAGTATGTACTAACCTCACTTGCACGTTTTTAAAATTGGAAAGTCTTGTAAAACATAGATCGAATAAGCACGGGTTATGAGGTAGACACGGCCACGGGCCGGGTTTGACCTAGACCCGGCCCGGACCCGACCCGTGGACTGCCCCGCCCCGCCCCGGCCCCGCACCGTTGACCATCAACCCGGACCCGGACCCACCCATACACGGGTCGGAGAGGATTCGAACTCGAGACGAATTGGAAAGATTGGGCATATCTTTCCACTGGGGCCAAACACAACATTTGATAATATTTAGGCAATAAATATATATAATATAAAACTCCGGTAAAATGATTTAATTGGCATGTAAATATGTTAAAGAAATTATTAATTTTCATATTAATTATTAGTAAATAAGTTTAATTAAATTATTAGCAAATGCAAACTTTAAATATATATATATATATATATATATATATATATATATATATATATATATATATATATATATATATAAAAGCACGGTTCAATACTTCAAAACATCCATTATTAATTACTATATCAATATAATCTCCACTATTGAAAAATATATACGATTGAATCAATTCAATATTTAATCAAATGCGTATACTTAATACAAACTCACTTTTGTTATTAAAATCGATAGTGTGAAAAAATCGAATGAAAAATTAAATAATATGTTTATTTAAAAAAAATAGATTATAACTCATTTCAATGAATTTAAATCGATTAACCTCAATTGTTGACAAGAACTTATTAATATTATTGAGTATTTTATCATAAGATAATTATTTAAAAATATAAATGATGTTTATTTTAACAAAAATAGATTATATCTCAATTCAATTAATTTTCTTACTTTAAAAATAATATTATATATGACTACTATATTCAAAATATTATGATGCAATTTCTCTTTTAATAATTGGTTTAATTTGTAAAAATCGTAAGAATTAAATTGTAGATCATATGATTTAATCCTTTTTTTAACATATACATTTTATTCAAATATTAGAATTGAATCGTAAGATTTAAATGGATTAACCTCAAGTTCTTTCAATTTATTTTAATTTTTTTATTATATTATATTTGTGAATAATTTAATTAAAATTCTTTAATAATTATGAATATGATAATTAATAATCCATTAAACATTATTTTTATAATCATTTTACACTATATGTTATTGTTATATATATTTTTTGCAAGTAATTTCATAAAAAATTTCCTTGTCTCACTGGTTTGGATTGGCATTTTCATGTGAAGGGAACCAGAGTTCGAACCCCATTCCAAGCATATTTTGGAAAAAGTTTCAAAATCCAGTTCGGACCCGGACCCGGACCCGACCCGACCCGGGGCCGTGTCTAGTATGAGGGAGCGGTACCCCAAAATGAGATGAAGAGTGTGTGGTTTTATTCCACTTATGAAACGGGTTCCAAATAAATGAAGGCTTATTGTCTATGGTTTTACTTGATTTTTCAAAGGATATCCGACTAAAGAAAATGATTTTCTCACACATTGTATGAGCACTTGAATGAATGTATATGCAAAAGAATGACGACTCCCTTGTGAGGGATCTCCTCTTATTCCTTATGAAATGATGGTACACCGAGATGGTAAAGGTAAATCGGTAAAATTCCTTAAAGAAATGGTGATTAAGGTATATGTGTACTTGTACATGTATGTATATGTATGATTATATGATTCCTTGTCTAAGTGTATTTAATATTCTATGGAATTCTCATTGAGTCTCAAAGACTCATATAGGTGTTGAATTGCTTGTAGGATTACCCGATTTCGAGCCCGAGGTTCGTGGTTGAAGTTGAGTTCGTGGATCAGGAGAAGAGTTCATATGGATGCATGGTGGATTTTGGGTGCTCTTAATATACTAATGTGGTTCTATTTGTACAATTTGCTATTAAGGATATTCGACACCGTTATAGGTGTTTATTATCGTTCCCTTCCGCGTATTGGAGGAACTTAATGCATAATGTGTAATGTGACATAGGATTAAGATTACCTATTTTGATATACATTATGATAATTCCTCAAAAACTTATGTAACTTTAGGGCAAGTTTTCCTAAAAACCTTATAAAATGCCCATCGGCTAGTTATGTGTTGTGTTCTGCTTAGTAGTTTAATAATTCGTGTTAATTATCTCTTTTATACATTATTGCATGAAATTTTACAGCATCATAGGTCTATCTTTTAGGTTCATGTTGATAGGTCTTTTGCATTAATTGGATAAGCCGTGAATTAGTTACGAATTGTTTACCAACTCTGCTCTGAAACAGAGTCATTGTAGTATTTACAATCAAATACGAAGTGTTTCTCACTCAAAAGGATTTATTCCACTTGGGATAAACTCCTAACTTACTAATGTACTTTAGCATATAATTTTATGATTTTTCAAACAGTAGGGAATTTATAAAAAAAATTCAAAGGTCACTCCCCTGCTTTAGATTTTCAAACTGTACAGTTGTACCATTTTAATTATTCCTTTCAAATGGCTCAAGTTATTTAAAAACTGTTTTTACTAGGTTATCTAGACCCTTATTAGAGAATGTGGTAAAAATTTCAAGTGTTTGGCATGAACGGTTAGAGAGTTATTTATTTGTTTGATTGATAGATCGAAACTGTCCAAAATTTTCTCACTTTGCTAAAATGGGACTTAATCTCTAGTCATGCATGCATAGTTTGTGAAATTGATTAAGGGAATGTTGTTTGGTAATATGTGGACACTCTTACTCTGATTCTAAAAGAAATTTTTTGTCGGAATTTTCTATTCCCGATTAATTTATTTCAAAGTCTTCCGCTATCATATTCTAACATAATGCGAATAAAAATAATAGTTTGGCAATAATTTAGGGAGGATATATTTGTATAATTTACTTTTTTTTTTTTTTTTTTCCTCCTCTTTTTCTGAGAGTTAGTTAAACTTTATCGAACTCAAAGCTATTTTTTATTACCATAATTTAAATGGTAAATGGGTACCCGTGGGTACCTAGATATTCGTTGTAACGATTATGGTATTTCCATTAACTTTTTAAATAGGTTTGCTATGGTCATGGTTTGAGTTATATATTAAATGATAATGATTCTGGTATTACATTTTTTCGAGGGTACCTGCTCCACTGCCATTCCTAGTATGGAGTCTCCACTGGGAACGCCCTTAATAAGCACTTCGACAACAAATTCCAACTGAAAAGTTCTAATTTCACCTAGATGTTCTTAAATTGTATCTTTACCATTCAGCTAAATATAAAATCATTTTTCGTTTTTCACAACTAAAGAAACTCACAATTCTTTTTACAACATCCATGTATTTAGACTCACCTGTAATAAAATCCAAACCGGTCTAAACTTTTCACAACACCATAAACTATTAAGGGGTCTTTACAAGTAAGCCCATCAATGAGTATTTATTCATAAAGAGATCCAGGCAAAAAACTCATTTACCAATAAGTCCATACATGGTCCAGATTTTTGTAAAGGACTAAAATAACCCCTCATACTTTAATATGCTCCAATTTCATCCTTAACTTAATTGAACTTCAATTTGACCCCAAATTTCACAAATTATTCAATTTTGCCCCAAACCTTTTTTTTTCAATTTTTTTTCCCGCCGGTCTCCGGCGTTGACTTTTCAATTTTTTTTCTTCTTTTGTTTCTTTCCGTAACCTTTTTTTTCCGTTTAAACAGCAATATTGCTGTGATTGACAGTAATATTAACTATATTACTGTTAAACACAGTAAAATTAACTAAACTATAGTTTAACACAGTAATATTGCTATATTAATCTGTAGTACAGTAATATTAACACAACAAAACTCATTATTATTGTGTAATAAAGTAATATTACTATGTTGACCGTTCAACAAATGTAAACATAATAAAAAGTCAAAAGAATTAATATTACTGTGAGTGACAATAATATTGCTATAACAACAGTAATATTACCGTCGACCACAGTAATATTACAATAATAGACAGTAATATTATTACGTTACTCCGTGAATAACTCAAACAAACAAAAAATTCCAAACAAAATAATAATATTGATATGGTTGACAGCAATATTACTATAACAACAGTAACATTACCGTCAACCTCAGTAATATTATTGTGTTTACAGTAATATTACAATAATAGACAGTAATATTATTACGTTACTCCGTGAATAACTCAAACAAAACAAAAAAACCCAAAAAAAATAATAATATTGATGTTGTTGACAGTAATATTATTGTGTTTACAGTTATTTTACTGTCAACGACAGTAATATAATTACGTTGACTTGTCAACAAATCAAAAAAAAATAGAAAAAAATAATAATAAATAAAAAAATATAATATTGCATTAATTTACTGTCAACGGCAACACAATTACATAAATGTAATGTCAACGGCAGTACAATTACGTTAATTAACTATCATTGACAGTATAATTACGTTAATTTACTGTCAGTGACAGCACAATTACGGTTAACGTTTAGCGGCGGACGTGGAAAAACAAAACAAACCAAACAAAACAAAACAAAAAACTTAAAAAAACACTAAAAAAAGAGACCGCCGGAAACCGGCGAAAAAATCCGGAAGAAAAGAAAAGAAAAAAAAAAGAAAAAAGCAAAAAAAAAAAAAAAAAAAAAAAAAAAAAAAGTCAACGCCGGAGACCGGCGTTGACCGCCGGTCAACGCTGGAAACCGGCGAAAAAATCCGGAAGAAAGAAAAAAAAAAAAAAAAAAAAAAAAATTAAAAAAGTCAACGCCGGAAACCGGCGTTGACCGCCGGTCAACGCCGGAATCCGGCGGAAAAAAAAAAGTTTTTGAAAAAAAAAATATTTTTTGAAAAAAAAAAATTTTTGGGTCAAAATTTAATAATTTGTGAAATTTGGGGTCAAATTGAGATTAAATTAAGTTAAGGATGAAATTGGAGCATATTAAATTATACTCCAAAAAAAAGTCAAAATTGAATTTTTGTGGTCAAAATTGAACTTTTATGGACAAAATTGATTAATTTGGATTACAATTAAGAATTGGGTATAAATGGTTGAGGGTAATATTGGGATATACATGAATGTTTCCTTTAGTTATAATAAATATTAAAGGGATGGGCTTATTGGTAAAAGAGATATGTCCCCTAAACCTAGAATAATAAACATGCTTGGTTGGGGACTTTTGCATAAAAATCCCTATTTATTATAATATTACAAAACAAATCTAATTGTATTTTAAAATTATTATTATCTTTAACTAAGATAACTTATCCCAATATTTCACAAAATTAATTTATTTGTACAATATAGAGTTGATTCTCTCTAGTCAAGCATCGGCCCAGTGATCCAAGCCCATTTATTTACACACGGCTTCCAACACTAGGCAACAATGCATTCCAGGCAACTTTTATTTTGCGACTAAAATGGATTCGTCGCAATTTTGTGACGTTTTATAACAAAAACGTCGCAAGAATACAAAAAGAAAGAACCCATAAATAGAACTGCGATGATAACAAATTACGTCGTAAATATCGTTGCATTAAAGCTCGCGAGCATTTGCTACGAATCAACTCAATCTTCGCAATAGTGTGCGACGATTTTTCTACAAAACGTCGCAATTAGTTTTTTAATAAATATTTGCGACGTTTAATTATTTTCGTCGCAATTGTTTAAAATAAATAATAACTTGCAAATTATTATGTGACGTTTTCTGGTTTTCGTCTCAAGGATTTGAATTAATTTGCTCAGCCAAGCGGGAGATGAATCTGCTGAGAGCCACTATCTTTTCTGGCAAATTATGTACCTCTTTGATACTATGAGGTGCAGACATTTCCAAAACAACTCGTACCTTCTCCAGATTGAACTCGATACCGTTTTTGGTTCCAATACAACCCAACAAATTTACCTATTTGTACACCAAACGAGTACTTCACCAGGTTCATTATCAATCCATACCTTCGGAGCGTTGAGAATGTTTTCGCAAGATTAGCTATCTGAAAGCTTGCATTTTTACTTTTGACAAGCATATCGTCCGAATAGACCTCTATGTTTCACCCTAATTATACAGCAAAAACTTTATCCACAAGTCTTTAATTAATTACATTAATTAATTATCGAGTTTTCAAAACAATTATAGAACCTCAACTAGCATAAATCATTCAAATAATGTTGAGGTACTACTAATTAAGTTGAACTATAATCAATATTATATATGTGTTCTATTAATTGAAATCAATTTAACAAATTAAATCAATTTGATTAATCTAACACCTATTTACTAAAATAGATGATTGTCGATCCAATTATCTAATTGGGATTAATTGAATATTTTCAGTGAACCGGTTCGGCCCAACCGGTCTGACCGGTTCGGACCGAAGCGGTCCGGTTCTGTCCGGTCCAGCTGACCCAAATCAATGGGCCGGGTCAGTCGGTCCGGGAACCGGTCTAACCGACCCGAATCCACGTGGATTCGGTCAACTAAATCGCACACAACCATCGAACCGGCCGGTTCGACCGGTTCGATCCGAACAACAAAAACCGACGTTTTTTAAAAACAATTTCAGATCCGATTTTCCAATTTTAAACAATTTTAAAGCTGGAAAAATTCTAAACAATATTTCGAAAATATTTTAAACTTACGAAAACTCCCAATTACATAATACGACAATCACTACTTTAATAAATCGAACATGCATAAAATCATAGCATATTAAACGACACAATTAATTGCGCAACGAGCTCTGATACCACTGTTGGGTTTCGGGCACGTGTACGCAACGGAAAATAAAAATTTAATGTGATTTAAACGACTTTAAAGCACACAAGCACATGCCCGACAAATTAAAATCAATTAATTGCGTACCTTTGCGCTTCCAGCGAAATTAAAAACAACATACATGCTAAATAATTTAACCGAATTTAAATCAATTAACATGCTCGCGTTTAAACCAAATAACATGCTTGCAACGATTAAAACGATTACACATAATCACATAAAATCATACGAAAGCAAACATGAAAATATAGTTTAAACGTAAACGAATCGAAACAAGGGATTCGTGTGTTTACCTCTTGAAGCGTGAGGTAGGAGCGTTTAGCAAGTCGAGATTGCTACGGAAACCAATCCGTACA